TGGTAGAACAGTTTGCAGCCTATAAATGAGAGCACTAAGGGAAGGCAGTTGATGGCTCTTTAATAAGTATAGAATGTATAGGAAACAAAAGTTAGGAACAACATATTAAAAGTAAAGTATCCTTAAATATGACACACTGGGTTTGTGGGGACATAGGACAGTGAAGGAATACTGACATTTACAGCTAAGTTCTCCTGAATGTTTGGCTGCCATGTGCACATCTTCCCTGGCCACAGGCATGGTGTTCAATCACGTGGCCTCAGAGCCAGCAACTTCCACCAGTCAATCCAGCAAGAAATAAGTATTGTAGAAAAAAGTTTTTCCTCTGGATCAGCTCTAATGACACCTAATGACAGTTCACCACTGCATATATTTTATTCTGATAAAAGTTAGTCTTACATGGCTAGCAGCTGTAATTTATGATTATAAACCTGCCACAATAGTGCTGTGAAATAAAACTGGTAAGATAACATAACTGCATGTGGGTGTCAAAAAATTTTAAAAAGTAAGAAGAGATGAAAGGAGAACCACCACTGGAGATCAAAAGGATAAGAGACCCAGGGGAAGAAGGGAAACTTTCTGTACCATTGCTGCAAAATTTTCTGAGGTGCAAACTGGTATAAATCAGCTCACGCCATTTCCAGGGAAGAATAATTTGTAATTTTTTAATAAAAAAAAAGATGCTGTGAAACTGGATGTCCCAATATGTAAATATTATTATTAGAATGCATTTATTTATTTACTAAGGTAATAATAATAATGTTTTACAAACATGACTGAAAACAAATTTGTAGATGTAAGAAAAGGGCATTAAAAATTGAACATTATCAGGAGAAGTGGAAATGCAAAGAATCGTTCTTCTGGTATGCTTTTTTTTTCTTGGAGAATATAAGAGAAAACAATTCATGGATTTATAAAACTGAGTCTGTGAGGATTCTGAAGTCATAGCACATTGTGTTATAACTAGAATGGACAGAGGCTGCTTACAGTGTTTATCTATAAACAATTCTAATGTGATCCCGCAGAGAAAGGTTGAACTTATTTCATGTAGCACAGTATACTTGCCATCATGTCCTAATGATTTAATAATTGCTTTTCAAAATCTCAAATGTAGGCTCTTAGATAGGAGTCTGTAAGTGTCTGAATAATTCAGCTTGTGTTGCACATTACCTGCAGACAAACTTTTATTGTGAGCTAAAAAATTGGTTTTCGTGACAAGAATAATGTAGTCATCTCGTTTTATCTTGTACTGTCCAGTTGTTCTAATATAACCTCCAAAATAGTTTGAGGTTGTGTTAAAGTCAATATGTTTTTAGTGTGATCTGTCATTCAAGAATTTGTCACATTCATTCTGGTCTGGTGGGTGTGACATTACCTCCTTCTTTGTGATAATGCAGAACAGCATTTAATGGCATTATTTCCATCAATAATGCTTATGTTCCTAGGCCTGAGGAAGGACCATAAAAGTTATAGAAGACGTTGTGTTAAAGTTCAGTTTTATAGTTTCTTTGCTTTCTTGGCTAAGGCTCATTCTTTTGTTTGGAGCCATTTTGCCTCTTCTAGTGGAACTGCCTGAAGTTCTTAATTGGGTTTCCTGTCTCAGTGTTACACTTTTCAGGTCACTGTGATGTGTCATAGAAACAAGCCCATTAAGATGAATGATGTGTGTTGTAATTTCATTAGTGTCATCAATAATGTATTGCAGTTTTCTGTTTAGGAGCCTGTTTTTGTTTTGTGTGGGTCAGGCTGACTGCATGCATTATATTTATAAGATCAAAATAGTTAAAGATGAAGGTAGATACTTAAGCAATTAGGCCAGAGGCTGGAATTGTTGTTTTAGAGGTGTAGGCTACAAAACCAATTTGTATTAAGGAATGTTTAAGTAATTGAATTTCACAGTATAAATTAAAGTCTCTTCCTATCATTATGCTTGTTGTGGGCACATAGTCATATCTTGTGCCAGTGAAATGGCTGGGGTTTATTTTTCAGTCCATGTGTAACCTTTAATGAAAACGCTTTTCTGGCTTGTAAAGGCTTGGAAGTAATAAACTGGACTAACCATTTTTTTCATTTGATGAAGCTTGGACAGAGATAAGAAATAAACTTGTATAAATTGACTCTCATGAACATGCATAAAGAGAGAAATCATTTTATGCAACAAAGGGGTGGTATGGCTTGCCAAGCAAAGATAAGTAATTGGAAAATATAAGATCCCAGTGAGAAATCCTAGCAGAAAATTTGAAAAAATAGGTGCTGGATAATATTACTTATTATTATTCACATACATACAAATAAAAAGTAGATTCTGTAATACTATGCAATCAGCTATGCCAAAGACATATTACTATTGCAGAAGTTAAGATACTATTTTAAATTATGACAGCAGACTGCTTGTCTCTGTCATTCATCAAACAACTAAGCTTTTCTCATCAGACACTAATTTGCACTGCAGTCAGGTGGGGTGGGCTAGGAATACTTGTTTTCACTTGGTTTACCTGCCTATGGATTTTCTGTGGAATCACCTGTGATTCCAAAATCACAGCAGTAAATTTAAACTGTATTAACATCCTTATATGTCAAGCTAAACCATCTTTTAAGCATGTGTACCTTGTTTAGAGCACATTTGAAGATGGGACAGGAGGAGATCTGTTCATATTCACCACAAATATTGCCTCAGCAGTCCCCAGATGTTCCAGTGTTCAGACCATCTTCTCTTTAGAGTCTGGTTTCTAGAAGTCTCTAAGTTAGTGTTGCTCTGCTGATTGTTATTGTCTTATGATGTTTTCATTAGTTGATGTTACCCCTAGTAAAGGAATAGAGGGATCCTAATACAGATCAGGGCACCAGTTTGTAGGCTCTGGAGCAGAATTCCAGCTCAGTCAGTCTCACAGCCACCAGCAACCAGATCTCTCCTGAGAGTAGAAAGTAACTGATTATCTCTAGCACTGTCCTTGCTGTTCAAGGTGTTTGAAGGGTTGTGAACAAGCTTCTTTCTCCCTGTGAACTACAGCAGCTATAGAGGAGAGTTCTTTAAAAGCCTGGTTCTGCTTGCAGTGATCTCAGCAGGAGATTTTGAACTTGATTTCAGAAGAAGCAAAATCAATCCCTGCTTTGAAAAATATAGTATTTCCCATAGCACAGCCTATCCTTAAAAACCAATCCACCAAGAATTTATCTGGTTCTCAGCATACATAGTTTTCATTTACTATATCACAGAGACTGTTTTGGGATAGTCCATGATACAACTTGAATCACCTTTGAGTGTAAGCTGCATCATAGTCTAAGGAAAAGTAGCATCAGCTAAGTAGCTTTCTGCTAAGGAATCAGGCACTTGTCCTCTGGCTGCTGCAGTGCAAGCTGAGGAAGTTATTGCCACATCTGCCTGTTACTGTCCTCTTGATGGAGGCTTCTGTCCCTGCTGAGCTGTTCCTGCAAGCACTTCTAACCTGCTTCAGTCTAAATGATCTAGGTCAGTGATGACCTATTATTCAAACTGTGTAAGCTGTCCTTCTACTGCAAGTGTTGGATTCAAACCCTTTCCCTCCTCTGTTTAAAACTACAATGTATTGCATTGCAGACCTGTTGAAATGGCTAGATGTATTGCTGTCAGGGGATGAAATGCTTACCATTCCTATTGCACATTGCTGGGTTTGGATGTATACCCAATATAGGAAGGCAAAAACATAGACTGAAAAATTGTCTTATGAGGATAGGAGTTCTTTCATATCTTTGAAATACATTGCCTCTCACTCAAAACGTTTTCTATAAACTGAAAAACATGGCAGAAGACTGTAGGTGTTCTGTGGTGTCATTTATTGGGGCACTTTGTTACCTCTCTCCCTGGCAGACTGGCAGTTAGGTGATTCATATAATAATAATATGCCCTTTTGTGATAATCTGTCATGTACACACTTGGCAGTTTTATTACTGATTTGGAGTTGCCATTTGGCATGTTCTGTCATGCAATTAGATTGCTAACAAAGTATGTAAGTTGTCCTGTTTCTTGCTGGTTTTGTGAAACAACTTCTCCCCTGCCCTGAACACCTGCCTTGTATTGAAGGATAAGGTCCTGCACCAAATCACTGCAGTTTTCCTGTTTCAAATTTCACTCTCTTCTGTTTGCAGTCAAAGGAGTTCCTGGGTGGAGATTTATGATATTTACATGCTCTGCTAATTAGAATAATGATTACACCTGCTTTTGGATAACATTTATAGCCTGTTTCAAAAAGTCTCATTAAAATCACTGACTAGCTTTGAATTCTGAGCCTTCCACACCTCAGACAGGCAACATTTCCAAGGGATCAGACAGTACTTTCGCATGTGTTTTTATAAAAGCCATTTAAAAGACTTGCAGATATTATAGGAAAGCACAGTTTTTGTTTCATAAGGGTTTAGCTGTGCAAGCTGTTTGTTTCTTTCCTTGAATATGTGACATTAAAGATAGGTTGCTCTGTTCTGATGCCACAAAGGATTATTGATGAAATAAAGGCTCTGCTGAAGGCAATGAGTTTTACCATTGACTTCAATGTATATGGAATTCACCTCTGAAGTGTGAAATATATAACAGGAGTAGATAGGAAAAACAAAACCAAAAAAAAAAACAACTCTCAAATCTGTGCTGATGGTTCATAGCAATAGCCAAACTTTTTTTAGAAGAGAGTTATAGAATCCAGCTGAGACATGAAATCCTTCATGAGGGGTGTGATAGGTCTGAGGCTTATGCTTTTGAATAAAATCATGAATGGGCAAAGAGGAATGTGAGATTTCTTTGATGGATTTAGCGACTGTTTCAATGTATGTACACGTAGATCAATGAACAGATTCAGTTTACAAAGCCATAATAAATATGCAGTTGTCTCTCACTTTGCCATGGGTCAGCTTTTCTGTGCACAATATATATCATCTGTAAAGCGTAGCTGATACTTCCAGGATTTCTTGTTGCCTTCTGATGAATTGTTTTGAGTAAAAAGTTTACCATTCTCTCTATTGTTCTCTTTTAGAAATATTCTTTACAGACTAGATGAAAGGACCAGCCAGTTTTCAGTACTGCTAGAGGCACTGGAGCACTGCAAACTACATCAGTCAAATGAGACCATTCAAGCAGCCTTGTCAGAGGTGCTGAACAGCATCAATTCAGCTCAGGTTTACTTCAAAGCAGGACTTGATGTGTTTGAGACTACCTTAGCTGGAAAGAAATGAGAGGATTCTCTGCATTCTAAGACATTTGTTTACAACTTGCTAAACAAAAGTTTGACTTGGACCAGAATTGCTCTGAGGATGAAACCTTTCTCAGCTCTTCCTTCAGTTGCCGCTTAAAGGTACTGCAACGTGTAGTTTTATAAAGATAAAACAGTCTTTTGCACTGTTCACAGTATATCTCAAATGTCTGTTCCTGAATGTATAAAACGTAATGAGAGGGAATAACACTTAAGATATGATTTTTGAAAGGACATCTACTGTATTTTTATATGTAAAATATGTTTTTATGACTAAGAGCTCAATCTTGCCAAGTACCGAGCACGTCCTGCAACATGCTGAAGACCTGGTTCTGAGACACCCCAGATGTATACCCGGGTGAAATTTCCATGCCTACTCTGTCAGAAAAATCTGACATAAGTATACTCTTGCATTTCTTAACTTCAGCAAGCTCATCTTCTTCCTTACTCCATTCAGAGTAAGTAGTTGAAGGATGTGGCATTTCCTTGGATATCAAGCACCAGAGTGCAAATGCACAAAACACCATTATTTGTGCAATCCAGCACCTCTACTCCTGTGGAACAATAAATACCTCAATTCTGAGAATACACATAAACTTTGATTATTCCATTTCTGTATGAAAATAAAGAGTTGTTTTCTCTAATGATTCTTGGAGACAAAATTTTTGTTATGATTTCAAATGCTTTGAAAAGTTTGAATCAGTAGCTATACTTGCACAAAAACACTTTGAATCTTTATGTTAAATAACAGAACTGCCTTGTCTTATGAGACTGCAGGCCTTATAAGCTTATACATTACCAAAACAGCCCACTTCAAAGTCTCTCTAAATTTCTGGAGAGCTGTAAATGAAAAGACCTCCAAGTCCTGGGAACAGTTTTGGAATTCCACCACTCAGCCACATCACCTTCTATTCCAGACAGGATCATTCCATCAGTAGTGCTTGGCATTTAGAACTTGGATTATTGTCAAAAAAGCAGAAGGAAAACATTTATCCATTCCCTAATGTAGAACCAGGAATTCAATTTTGGAGGCACAAGCTGGTGAAGTATATTGCAGGGCTAAAACTCCAATCTGTTTTGCAATGGTGATTGCATTGGAAGCCCTGGACAAAGGCTCTAATCACACCATTATCTGTTAGAAAAATTAATCTGTGAGTGAAAGGATCAGAAAGTTCAATGTCATCTGAGGGGATACTATACACATGAGAACTACAGGTCTTAATAATATAAACAGTTGAAATTTTTAAGCCCTATTGGGTTTAGAGTTTTACAGTCTCAGATGATTCTGAGTTAGAGCTTGAAAAAATAATTTTATATAAATATTTGGAATTGAAATATAATTTATTTGATGGAAAAGTTAAATGTATTGTTGCCCTGTTTGCCATGGAAACATGACAGAAACATTTCAGGTTGCAATAAAAATGGGAAAAGTATCTATATTAATGTTTAAAAATTTCCTTCTGGAGAATTTTTACATGCACAATTTGATGAAAAACTTTTTAAACTTCACATAGCAAGAAATAAGAGTTATTTACAGACCTGGGTTTCCATTTCTAAGGTCCTTGGCAAATGGGCCTCTATAAGCTATGACCTGGGACTGGGTACATACAGCTATGCTGTTGCCACATTTCTTTGCAAGTTATTATCATGACATAAGCAAAGACACCTGGATCTGAAAAGAGGCTTGGCTGTGCAGTTGTGCAGCTACCACTGCAGTGGGAGTATGTTCATCATCAGTCAGTGTGACTGCATGAATTTAGATACAATTATCTCCTGTCTTTGCTTGGCATCTGATAAGCAAGAATATATGATGATTCTTTTCCTAATGCTGATACAAGTTCTGTTTACTGCAGAGAGACTTTGACTTCTGAAGAGCAACATTTTTTTCTGATACTATAATGTTTGTCCATCTCCTTGTTTCCATGGTTTCTCTTATTGTAATACTTAAATGGTTGGAATATCCACGTTTGAGTTGTATGTTTATTTTGTGGTAGTATTTGGGGTTATATTGTGCACATTACATTTGAATTACATGTTGTAATAGGCACCAACCAGTCTTCTAACAGTTCATGTAGTAACTTCTTTAGAGTGCTGAGTTGCTGTGGAGCCAACGTCTATAGCCTTAAAAGATATAGGGTCAGATGCCAACAGGAGACAAAAAAAAAGAGATTAACACCTTCTTTAACTGTACCAGATGCATTTCATAACTGCCTCCTCATCCTTAGATTATATGTTCCACCAAACTCACCTCTAACGTAACCAAAGTGTACTCAGGCAAAATCAGGGAAATCTGTTGGGAAGAGTATCCCTCATGTATGATTCCTCAACCATGTAATTCCTCACTCTAAAACATTTACCTTGTTTTCTCACTAATGTCCTTCTGTAACCACTTTTAAAATAGCAGACTTCAAAGTACTCCACTAGAAAAGCACTGCTGTTGTAAGTGCCTGTCTATTCTGGAGACAATCAGATGTTTTTGTTGGTGAGATGAATCAGATGAGCTATTTAGGGACTTAAATGCATTGATTTCAATGTTCATCTCACACTTGTAGATCTCTGGGCTTTTATTTCAATGTTCAGATCTTATATATAAGTGAGTGCTTAATGATAATATTTGTACTGTTACAGCTTTGGAAAAAGCACTTTCGAGCCATATCCTTCCATTGATTTTTAAATCCTACCTATTGACTTCAAAGAATTTATAGCAGGTTAAGGTCCTAACTACCTGGTGTGTTTCTAATATAGAATTTTTGCCCAGCCAGCTGTGGATCATCAGCTAAAGGAAGGTGTTAGTAAATCACAGCAATGTATCCAGATTGATTTAATTCCTATGTTGTATTGAAATAAACAGAGCACCCTTAAAGGCAGGAGTATGTTTGCAAATTGCCTGAATGATACTAAATATTTGTTACCTTTTCAGAAATGTCAATTGCCAGAGACTATAACAAATGCATTGATTGCTACTTAATCTGGAGTCATGCTCACAGTGACCAGAAAATCCCTGCAGCTTGCAATATTTGTATGTTGAGACAGTTGATAATAAAAAGCTAATAAGATTTTATTAGTGCATATTTTAAAGAGTCCATAAAAAAGCTAAAGTACGATCAACTCAGATGAATAAAAACTACATGGGAGCTGGATTTTGAGTACTAACCTTAAAAAAGGCAGTGAATTGTTTTTATCATCCAAGAAAAACAGTACCTGTGCATATACACAAACACACAAATGCCTTATATCTTCCAAATATTGTACAAACACTAATTTACTTGCAGTGATATGATACATCTGCATAAACACAGATGTAAATAATAACTACATGAAAAAATTGGCAAACATTTTGCACTGCTTCACTTACCTTTTAGGAAAGTTTTTCAGTCTAGAGATGTAAAAGAATGCACTGCAGCTGACCTCAGTTCTTGGAAGAGTAGGTGGGGAAAGGTTAAATCTCAGGTATCACAGAAGGGACTTATGGAGGTCATCTAGTCCAACCTCTCTGCTCAAGCAGGATCATCTAAAGGCAGCTGCCCAGGAGGGACTATGTTCAGATTACTTTTGTTTCAGATTCAGTTTTGAATCTCTTCCTCTCTGGGCAATCTGTGCCAGTGCAAGGTCACCCTCACAAAGAAAGTGTTTCATTCTTCTGTAAATACAGTTTCTTCCTATCATTCCCTAGATTTCTTAGCCATTAAATTACTGTAATCAGTTTAATTGCAAACATTCAAAAGTTAATCATAATTTCATTTAGTGAGTATTCTCAGCCAAGGTCTCTAGAATTTCACAGTTAATCTGTTGGAATGTTTATATGAGGAAACTTGTCCTTCGAGCCGTGGAGTTTAAGTTGTAGAAAATAATGTCTTTAGGATGCATTAGGAAATGCAGGGAGGAAAATTTCCCATCAGCATATGTGTAGCTATGTGCTATGAATGTATCTATTTTAACCAAACTTTGGGAGTTCAGTGCAATTCTATGGCAATTCTTGGCATGGGAAGGCAGGCAAGATAATTGTATGGGTCATTCTGGCTTTAAAAGCTATTAAATGCTATAAACATCGTTATGTCTTGGCCTATATTCTCAAGGGAGCAGTTAAGGTTTTCCTCAAAAGCCTTGTGCTGGAAGCTGTTATCTGTGTTACTCAGAAGTGGGTACCTCTGACATTACAGTGTGTTATGGTTGCTATCTCAGGAAACAAGCACAGTGTGGAAGATGTTCTTTCCCTTTGGCACTCTGTAACAGTTTAGCAGTAGTCTGCCAGTCCCAGAAAGGTGAGTAATAGAAAATAAAATCTCATTTTAAGATGCCTGGGACCTGAACTTTGAAAACAGCACTATAAATGTTCAAAACATAGTAAGGTGTCTTCTTATGGAGCTCTGAATATACAGAATTTGAGATAGAGTCTCAAGTAGTGCAAGTAAACATCTCAGAAATATCGAATACAAAAATAGTAATGGTCTATTAAATGTTGTAATAATTATATCAATGCAGCAATAATTTTGGGTGGCCTTAACCATTTGTCTATCTTTTCTCCTTCTGAAACCTTCTCCAACCCTCTGCATTCAACTTCTGTCACATCCTTATCCAATGTAATGACTTTCCCCATTCCTCACCACCTTTTTCTCAGTCATTCCCACTAGTTTTCTATCTCCATTTTGCTTATCACTTCTTAAGCTCACCTTTAACTTGCCAACCACCAAATTAATCCCCTTCTTTTCTCCCTCTGATCTCAGTCATGCCTTTTGTTCCCCATTCAGTTCACAACCCACCTCCCTTAAGTTTAAATTCTTATTCCTTGTACAGCTGACCATAAGAAAGAGCTGAAAGTGATGGAAAAGTCCTGCTCAGATCCAAACGGATAAAATATAAGGAGACATCGTCTGTTAAACTCAAAGTATTCTCTTCTAAATATGTATGAACAGCAGGTTCTCAATTATAACTTTGCTGAATGGAAGCAGATTTTCTTGGGGCCCACAATGTATTTTTCTTATC